TCCAACCCAAACAGTTCTGTGATTCTGCTTCTGGTGGGAGAGAGCCTTGGAAGATCCTGCCCCTTTCTTCTCATTCTGGAGAATGGGGTCATGTGCACAAAGCTCTCTCTGCCTCTGTCTCCCTAGCCTGATTTTCAGCACTGCAGGTGTGTATCTGCCAGCTGCTGGAGCTCCTCCCTCCTGTTGACTTCTCTAACCTGCTTAGGTACTGTAGGAAAATCCTGCTAAGCATCTGTGACCTTTAACAATCTGGCTTTCAGAGCTCAGTTTTCCTTTTGGGTAGATTAGAGGCAGCGATGAGTATCTGTGTAAAGCATTCTGAGACCTACATAGGAGGAACACTTACATAAGAGTCAGGAAAAATAATTAGTAGTACTTACAAGGGGTTAAGTTTTGTTGGTTTTTCTTTTTTTTTAATTCCTGCAGAGATTAACTGTAGGCTCAGCTGTGTGGTTGGGTTGTGTGTAGTGAGTCTCCAGGGGTGTGGTTAACCAGTGCCAAGCACCAGGGAATTCTGCTTGGCAGCAGTTTGAGGGCATCACGTTACCTTTACGTGTGCCTTAGCTAAACCATAATATCTCTGTGGTGTTTCTGAGCCTTTGGACTTCAGGAATTTGAAACAGAGAGAAAACATGAAGCTGTGTGGGGGGTAGATCCCCCTGGGACACAAATCTCACCCCTCGGGGTGTGTTGTGCAGGGCAGACACGGAGAGGTGCCTGGCACAGAGCCAGGGTGGGCAGGGCCTCGAGCAGCAGTTCAAACCCGTTGTTTGGTTTATCAAGAAGAGGTGCAGAACTCTTGCCTGTGTTCCAGGGACCCTGCTGGAGGTGTCCCAGGGCAGCACCGAGGACAAGGCGGCCCCAGAGAAGCCAAAGCAGAAGAAGAATCGTTGCTTCACCTGCAGGAAGAAGATCGGGCTGACAGGTGAGACCTGGCTGCAGGGAAACCCTCCCCTGGCCACCTGGGTTCTGGGGGTCAGCAGTTGGAGGTACCCCTCCCAAAAAATGCATTTGAGAGCTGCAAGACATGGGGGAGAAGGGAGGGGAGCTCTGACCTGCTGCCCGGGGCAGGAGCCTGGGGAATCTGCCCATCGCTGCCGGCCCCTGGGCATGGGATGGCAGAACTGGGTGGATGGAGCCTCTGGGGTCATTCCTGCCAGTGCTCCCAGTCCAGCCAGCAGTCAGGCTTCCAGAATTGTGATGTGAGCAGAGCTAGACCCCAGCTGACAACCCCACTGTGAGGCTCATCCCCTTTGTTAGAGAGTTGCTGGAGTTCTGCTGTTAGCCTCCCAGGGCAGGGTGCTCTGTGCCATCTACCCTGCAGGGGAGTATTTTTCTGGATGAGTGTTTCCTGAAGAGCTTCAGACTGTGAGAAGTTTCTTCTCACTTAGGAATGAACCCACAGAGAACTCCTGTGAATCCAGGGCATTTAGGATAAATGAGTTTTCTCAAATAGGAGTAAAGTGGCACCTCATACCAAGGCATTTGAGGTCCTTATAGCCTGTGGTTGGAAAGGAAGGAGTGTGGCTCAGTGCCAGCATGGTGAGGGGCCCATCTGTGATCCTGCCTCAGTTTCCCAGCGTGCCATGGCAATGGCAGCCCTTCCAAACAGTGTTGTCACTGCAGGAAGTGACTGAATTATTGATTTTGAAGTCTTAGATAGCTTGAAAGCTGATCCTGAGGAGGGGAAGGTTTTGCTGATAGCTGGCGTGCTGCTGGCCAGTGCAGCTGCTGCTGTGTGACGTCCAGGGAGCCTGGCTGGTGTGGGGGGCTCTGCTCCAGCCTGGGCTGCCTGGGGAGCCTGCTCTGGATCAGCAATCTGGCACTCTGCATCCTCAGCATGTCCCCTGTCCCCGGGGAGCGTGGAGAGCAGCTGCTCTGGGAGCTTTTCCTACTGATGTGACAGCTGGGGCTGCCCAGAAGTCACACAATCCTGGAATCCCAGGATCACAGCATGGCTGGGGTTGGGAGGGACCTCTGGAGATCATCTCCTCCAACCCCCCTGCTCCAGCAGCTCACCCACAGCAGGGTGCCCAGGGTCACAGCCAGGAGGGTTTGGGATCTCTCCAGAGCAGGAGACTCCACAGCCTCTCTGGGCAGCTGCTCCAGGCTCTGCACCCTCACCCCAAAGAAGTTTCTCCTCCTGCTCAGGTGGCACCTCCTGGGTTCCAGTTTGTGCACATTGCCAATTGTCCTGTCACTGGGTACCAGCACCAAGAGAATGGCCCCAACCTCTTGACCCCCACCTTTTAGGTATTTTTAAACATTGATCAGATCCCCTCTGAGGCTTCTCCAGCTGAACAGCCCCAGGGCTCTCAGCCTTCCCTCATCCCAGAGATGCTCCAGGCCCCTCAGCATCTTTGTAGCCTCCCCTGCACTCTCCAGTAGCTCATCTCTCGAACTGGTGTGTGCTCACAGGAGCAGCTAAGCCAGAGGAAAGCAAAGAGCCACCCGTGGTCATCCCCCCCACCCTCTGAGTCCCTTTTTGAGGACAGTAGTGTCCATGTCCCCCTCTGCCTGTCCCTCCTCCTGCAGTAGCGTTTGCTGGCCCGGCGGGGAGGAGTGGGGCCCTGCTGCCTTCCCGGGGAGGGCTGATAGGGCTTTATCTCTCTGCTCTCTCTCCCTCCAGGCTTCGACTGCCGCTGCGGGCAGCTCTTCTGCGCCATTCACCGGTACTCCGACATGCATGCCTGCCCCTACGACTACAAGGCAGAAGCAGCCGAGAAGATCCGTAAGGAGAACCCCGTCGTCATCGCCGAGAAGATCCAGAAGTTGTGAAAGGGGGCTGAGCAGCTCGAACTGCAGCTTAGGTGGCCTGGTGCTCCTCCTCTTCCTCCCGGCCTTCTTCCTCTTCCTCCCAGCCCCACC